AAATTCATTCATTTATTACAGTCCACATTTTCAATCCCATTTTCACAAGATATTCATTATATCTTCATTACTAATTTGAAACAATACTATCTTCAGCCTATCATCCAATCGCCTATGGAGCGTAGTGATCATAATATTATTACCTGATCACCTAAAGTTGTCGAAAAGAAAGCCAAACAGATTTTTAAAACGTATTTGCCGACCCATGCCTCCGCAAATTATTCAGCAATTTGGACAATGGATTACATCGCATACTTAGGATGAAGTCAGCAGAGAAACATCAATGACAAAACTATAGCCTTCTACAACACGCTTACGCTTATGATTGACAGTTATTTTCCAGTCATGACAATCAAAGTCCATACAATTGACAAAACTTGGATGAACAGTCAAATCAAAAGAATTATTAGTAAGCGTCAAGACATATTTAAACGAGAATCAAAAAGTACGTTATGGCGCTACTACCGCTACCATGCTCAGGGTACTATATATAAGTCAAGCACTCATTTCATGCTAACCGCATTTTTCAGAGATTCACATTCAGATTTCTTTTATTTTCCACAAATAACATGAAAATATGAAATATATGTGGAGGAGGCTATAATAAAATCATGTGCTGCGCAAAGCACAGATCTTTAGGCTAATAGCCCCCTTAACAAAAAGCATAATAATAATAATAATAATAATAATAATAATAATAATAATAATAATAATAATAATAAAGTGTTATCATTACTATTACCATCATCATCATCATCATCCTTATTTGCAGTATTTAAAAAAAGTCAAATAATAAAAATTATGTAAATTTAGTTCGCAAAAAGAAAGTTTTTTAGTATAGCTAACTGATTCAACAATTAAATAATATACAATCAGAAAACTGTGAAATAATTGGAAAATAAATAAATACATGGTATTACTCACCTTATGCCGAGATCAGAGACATTTTAAAGGAGGATTTAAAGCTGGTGATGGATGGTTTGTTAATAAGTTCTGGGGGTATATATTTCCACAATTTGGGGCCTACATTGAAAATCAAAAACCGTCTAAATGGTGTATTGCACGGTAATGTTGAATAAAAGTTGTTTGTAGAAAATCTTGTGGGATAATTGTGAACAGAGGGAACTGATGTAAATAAGTCATTTAATTGAGAAGGTAAAGTTTGTTTAAATAATCTGAACATAAATATAGCTATTTGAAGTTTATTTAAGTCATAAATATTAAGAACTTTAAAATTATGAAATAAAAGTTTAGTATGGGACCTATATGATGCATGTGCACAAATACGTAAAGCACGTTTTTGAAGGAGAAAGAGCTTGTCATATTTCGTACTTTCCGAACTTAACCAAGGACATAATGATTCAATTTTGTTTGTATTTACTGCCCATGCAATATTACCGTAAGAAAGATACGGTAAAATAAGAGTGTTATATAAAATTAATAGAATATTGGATGGCAGATAAAGCTTTAATTTGTTCATCATTCCCAAATTTCGAGAAATTATATTAGCTACACGATTAATATGGGGCTTCCAATTTAAATTAGAGTCTATTGTAATGCCTAAAAATTTAGTTTCTGTATAGACGAGTAATTTTAGCATTATCCATGTATAGGTCATCTTTAAATATAGTAGTTTTGGATTTATTAAATATAATATAATTTGTTTTAGAAATGTTTAAAGATAATTTATTTAGTTTAAACCAGTCTGACTCTAATTAACTCTTGATTCATTGTTTGAAATAATATATTTTTATTTTTATACGAACAGAAAATATTTGTGTCATCTGCAAATAAAATAAAGTTAAATAAGTTAGAACAATTTGGAATATCATTAACGTAAATTAAAAAAAACAAAAGAGGTCCTAAAATCGAGCCCTGAGGTACACCGCACGTTGTGGGTAAGAATTTTAAAAAAGTAAGTTGTTGACGGTTTGACAAGTAGCTTTGAATTAATTGTAGTGGAAGGCCTCTGATACCATAATGTTCAAGCTTATGAATAACAATATCGTGATTGATGGTATCAAAGGCCTTCGAAAAATCAAGAAAAATTCCAATTGTTACTTCGTTTTTTTTTTGTAATACTTTTTCTTAGCATATTTAAGCAAATTAGTTAGTTTATTTCTATAGCTGATGTATTTAATTTTATCTGAATTTCTATTAGTTCTTAAATATTTTTTGTACAAAGTATTTCTGGTATCAATAGACTTAATTAGTGAATTTGAAATCCAAGGTTTTTTTTTTCTTTGCGTAAATTCCGTCTACATTTTTGTTTTTTAAAATGCCTATTATATATCAACTTAAATGTAAAATTAAATAAGTTAAAAGAAGAGTTTGGATCATCATTATTATAAAGATCAGACCAATTTGTATTAGACAACTCATTTTTAAAATTGGAAATTGTTAAGAATTAGCATTAAGAATCTAAAATCTTATGACCCTGCTCAATGGCATTCAAGTGATAGTGAATCGTCTTAAATTGGCTCCTACTAATAGTATTCCTGACCCAACGGACCATAGTTCAATTGCACAATACATAAACTCAGTATTCTCAAAAGTATGTCAAACCAAGGAGCAATTGAATGGCAAGTTTACAAAGAACTTAAAGGAGCTAAAGTTCTGAAAGCTGCCGGCCCAGATAATGTGCCAAATAAAATTATTAAACTGTTTGCCTGTGAACTTACAGAACCATTAGTTAACCTTATTAACACCTCTCTTAGGGAGGGCTAATAATAATAATAGTTGGACTTGTAGAGCGCATCATGCGAAAAAGCCTCTATGCGCTAGGTGATTGAGCTCTTTGATTTGGACTTTTGAGAAAAAAGAAAGTTGAAGTTATTTTATGAAACTAAAAAACCTACTCCTTAAACTAAGGAGGCTGTGTTCCGCAACATTGAAAGGATGCCACGTGTGTCCTATTCCTAAAAAATATCCCATTAAGCTTCGGCCAGTGTCACTTACATCTCAATTTGCAAAAACATTCTGAGGTTATTATTTGTAAACTTCTTATTGGTGAAATTGGTAGAAAGCTTGACATCTCACAGTATAGTTGCATTTAGGGTCTGTCAACCATGCATTATATTATTGATCTCTTACACTATTTATTAAGGGTACAGATAAACCTTACTCAGCTGGCCAGCTGGTTCTAACTGATTATTCCAAAGCTTTTGATAGTATAAAATATATACTGTTATTATTACAACAATGATTGGTCTTGGTGTTAGCTGAAATTGTTAAGTTGCAAGCTTTTGACTGGACGACGTCAGAGAGTTAGATATCACTCATCCCTTTCTTACTGGGACCATTGACTTGTAATGTCCCTTAAGAGACAAAACTTGAAATAGAGGTTTTTAAGATTCATGTTAATGATGCTGCCAGTGACTCTATGTGAAAAAATTAGATGACATTTGTCTTGGTGAAGTCTTTAAAGTTAATACTAAAAACACAACTCACCTGCAAGATGACGTTGATGATCTAGTTAAATGGTCATGTCAAAATAAATTAAAGCTTAATCATTTAAATTGTCAAATAATGGGCATTTGTTTCATGCGAAATAGACCAGACTTGACTCAAAATTAATATTGGTGGCATTGATTGAGAGAGTGTAGATGATGTTAAATCCTTTGGATCTTCATAAACAGCAACCTTAAATGGGATGATCAAGTTGAAAATGTTTATACTAAAGGTAGCAGAAGGTTGCATATGCTTAGTCTTTGAAAATTTGGTCTGCCAACTGAGGACTTAATTTTTTTACTTCCTATGTTCGGCCAATTACCGAATATGCAACCCCAAGTTGGCACTCTGGTCTAACTGCTCGGCAACATAATACCATTGAATCAATACAGAAACGGGCCTGTACAATTATTATGGGTAAAGAGTATGTACATTATGATGACGCAATCGAAAAATGTCAGCTTAATCGACTTAGTGACAGAAGGGAAATCTGTACCTAAACTTTGCCAAGTCATGTCGAAAATCAAATCGTTTCTCTCATTGGTTCTAAGAGAACAATGGTTATTACTCTAAGTCATTGCGACACAGTAAACCATTTGTGGAAGAAAAGTCCTGAACGAAACGCTTTCGGAACAGCCCACTAATGTACCTTACTAGACTTATATAAAACTACAGTTGATAATTTAAATATTAATGTTTTTGGCATTTAAAAAAGAAAGAGTGGAAAAAAGGGGTGCTTTTTTCTTTTTTTATAATCTGCCTGTCTTTTGTCTTGTGCAATATTCAATTTTTATTCATGCTCTTGGGTTGTTTCTATTATGGTTGTTTTTTGGGTATTTTTATATTTTGTGCGCATTTTATTGTAATTTTTCTAGCTGCTGATTGTTCGTTGTTATTTGTATTGTTTTTCTTGATGTAAACTTCTATGTTATTCTGTATTTTGAAACTGTGGGTTGCATTTTATTGTGTTTTTTCTGGCTGTTTGACTGTTCGTTAGAATTTTATTGCATTATATTGCATCAGTGTAATTCAGTTTTTCTACCGCGATGGATAAAAAATACTTGAAATACTTGAAATAAATAAATAAAAATTGTACTTGCTGTATTGTATCGATTTGTACTTTTAGATGTTATTTCTTAATATAATATATCATTTTTTTCACCCGAGTATGCAATGCAAAACATACATAAATTAATGTAACGAAAGTATATTTTTGATAATAAAAAGTATATCGTATCGTATCGTATAAAGCTATATATTCTTACTATGTGCTCGGGTGCAAAAAAAAAAAATCGGTGGTAACAGATCTATCTATGGACTGAAAGGGCTAGGTCTTGGCAGAAAAATACGATTGGTATCAGACCTCGGATGGTCAGGGGTAAGGTGGTAAAACGCCGGTTTCGCAACAGGTCCAGGTGTCAAAAAGGCCGTGTGATAAAAGGTCGGGTGGCGGAGGTTGTTTGTGTCAAAAGGTCGGGACAACATGTCGGAAGGCAAAAGAAATAATAACCGTTTGATTGTAACGAATTTAAGATTAACATGTATTTTACCGTCTCTCAAACATGCTCCATCGGTGAACCTGACGTCATCTAAAGCAATATCACCTGTATGACTACTTCCTACAATTCCTTCAAACACAATCTTGTAGGTACTGTTTGTTTCAACTGGGATTTGTCCAAGTCGCCAGATGTTGCCCTGGTCGTTACTTTCTGTCCACGCAGGTATACCAACAGTACCTGCTGTATTGACTATATACACATTCAATATGTTCACTGTGGTCCCGTACATGTGGTAGAACCACTCGACGCATGTGCCGTTCGTTGCAGGATATGACGGTGTCCAAATTCGTGCAGTTTCATTATAGTTTCTCGGATTTGAAGTTTCGATGTACATATAGAAACCTGTAAGTAAATGGTAAAATAAATGCTATGATTTTAGAGAGATATACTTTACAAATATTTGCAATTGCGCTTTCGTTTTTATTTTGTTTGTAGTTCGAGCAACATTTTCAATTTACATTATTTTAATAAATATAATTTCATATCAGCTTTTTATTACCTTGTGATGTTCCGTATGTGTGGTCATACTTAGGGCCAGTACGAGATGAAGGTGTTGATCCAGATGTTCTTATCCAATCAAAATCATCGGTTTTATCTTGTACGAAGTAACAGATGTATTGATCTTCAAAATCACATTGTGTTTGCGCTAAAAAAAACCACAATAATTAACCGAATGGAATCAAATTTGTCGAATTAACGTAAAACCAAAGTACAATAATCCCTAACTTTGATAGAAAAACATATGCTACACTTTTCTCTAAATAAAGTCTTTGACATTGAGTTCCCCTCATATATCTACATAATTGTGTATAAACATTTTCAATAATAATAAAACAAAACCATTTACACTCAAAATCTCAATTGCATGAAGTCAAACCAACCTCCACAATGACGAAGTTAATCGTAAACTACAAAAGCATCTTTGATTTTACCACTAAATACAGTATTTTCGTAACATTATTGTTTACTTTTTGCAATCTTTCATTCGAACCAAAACATATTTCTGAATAACCTAGATTTACAATTTCAAATGTAGGTTCTTTCTTTTTATCCCATTCTACCATATCAGGAGCAAACCATCTTCAGGTTTACCATGAAAGGGTCCACTAGTCGCCTTGAATCACAAGGCTACTAGAACTCATGAAGTGCAGTAATCGTTATGTTCATTGTTCCTATAATTGATTTTATTGATAAGCAGGTTTTCACAATTTTGGTAAATATGTTGGTTATCGATTCATATTTATAGTTCACTTATGGTGATAATTCTTAGTTGTGGGGCCCATTGTTAGTTTAAGAATTTACCAGTCATTTTGAGCTATGTATGGGCAAGGTTTAGGGCTACTTCAGGCAGTCCACCTTATAATTGAAGTGGTTTTATTCAAGTGTGTGTTATTAGCAGTATTTGAGAAAGGGAAAGAAAGCTATTTGTTTCCTACTTCAGAGATTGTGTGCAATTAACTAATAATTTATTATATGCCAAGTCTATAACGTTAATAAGTTGTTTGTCTTCGTACTTTCACAATAATATTGCAGGAATTAACGCTTCACATGAGGGCTATTTTGATATTACTAGGACTATGAAGAAGATGAATAAGACGCCTAAATAATGTGACCGCAGCGTTGAAGCAGGAGTTAGTGAGCTCATCATCAACCATGGTTGCAGACATGAAGGATGATATGCGAGAGGTTCAAGAATTTCTTCTTGCTCCAGAGGGAGTCAGGAATTAAGATAGTGATCATACAGAGGATGATTTTCTAGCCGCTCAATCAGCTCAAAATATCGACGAGTATGCAGATGGACGGGACAAAATGTCTGATCTAGACCAATTTAGTACTTTCTTTAACTTGGCCGCAGAATTTAGCATTGCACAACGGGACAGGCCATCGTTTGGAAACTGCTTGCTATTGTTTAGGACCTCATTAGAGGAAAACTCCCAAAGAAGTTGGCGGAACGTATTGGTAAACATTCAAGGCTGCAGAGTTGTGAAAGCTTGTTAGCGCCCAAAGTAAATCGGGCTATCTGGGGTCAATTGAAGCCGGAATCTAAGATGGTTGGTTTCTGCATTGGATGAAAGGACAGAGCGCTATGCGAGTTTTCGAAAGGGCATACCAGGAGTCGTCAGGTGGGTTGAGGACCACTCGTACTCATGCACTCGTTCTTTCGTTGACAGCTAACTGTGTGAGTATAGAATCTAAAGTGACACGAATTAAGGACGTAGTCTAGGATACCACCCATCCATCGGGTCAGTTGTTATGGTAGTGGTGGAAGTCGTCATTCTAGGTTGAATGTAGGTAAGAATGGCCCCGGAAAAAATGGCCCCAGAAAAAATGGCCCCGGAAAATATGGCCCCGGTAAAAATGGCCCCATATGACAGGTAGGTAAAAATGGCCCAAATGAAAAATTCGGTAATAGAAATGATATATTTTTATTTTAATCTTCAAATATTTAAATACTGTATATTTAGTTATGTAATCAGAAACTACAGTTCCATCTTATTTTACGGGAACCTTAATTTGTTTATTTGATATTCATTTGTTTTATGAAATGACAATAATAATAATAATAATAATAATAATAATAATAATAATAATAATAATAATAATAATAATAATAATAATAATAATAATAATAATAATAATATTGGCAATAAATTGTTACAATACTGTAACTTACAAAGCAACTTTTAAAAAATAGTAACATTGCATGCGTTAAAAAAGATGCTGTTAAATTAGTATTAGAAACTTGTTAGTAGGAATACATATATACAGTACAGTAAAATGTACAATAGTCAGCGAGTTCGTCAAACAAGGTATAAAAAAGTCTCGCCTTGGTTAGCATCTTTTTAAAGAAAATCATTAATTTCATTAAAAAAAACACAAGTTACTGATTGATTAAATAATTCTATTTTAAATAAGAAATTATTATGCACAGTAAAGGTAACACAGGACAACATTTAAAAGATCATTATATTAGTGCTACTGAAACTATTAATTATTTCAAGGTTTTATCTAAGTACAAATCCAAGTTTGATTGCTTAATTAAATAAATGCTTTGGATCAAAGAACTGAAACCTACACTTAACAAACAAACTGATTCAGTCAAAGCCAAACTGTTTATCTAGTTAATCTGCTAAGAAGGGCTAATTATTACTTAGCTCCACTGCGGCTCCCCACAGTAGGCCCTATTGATATGTAAATTAATTACTTACTTCCTGTCACTGCTTGGTATTTTTGTTTTCAGTTTTTTCAATTTACTTGATCTTGAGAATGGTTCCATGATGGACCCGAAACGTCGATCTTTCTTGTCATTAAATTTTGTTTTGAGATTACGTTCTTAATTGATTTAATAAATAAAAGCCACAAATAATAATTTGATTTACTAAATTTCATTATGTCAAAATAGTTTTGCTTTAACATAGATTAAAAATATGTTACGCCTTACTTATTTTTAATCTATGGTCTTTTTAATTAATTTTCTTTTTTTTTATTGGCAATTCCGTCGTGCAGAATAAATTTATCAAAACCCATTAGGTTTACAGTAATATGAAAAAAAAAAATTAATTTATACAGAAATAGTATCTAAAATGATCTCAGTTTCCAAAGTTAAAGCAAAAGATCTAATCTAAACACACAATATTAGGCAGGATGTATTTGTTTGGAAAAGAACCCACTCTTTTGTGAAATTAAGAGGTTTATACGTGAACATTGTAAATTTAGAAATAAGTTTTATTTTTTCCTTTGAACTGAGATCAATATGTGATTTTTTTAAATTTCTTTAAAAGCATTTGTTTTTTAACAATTACAGCAGATGCAAATAATGTTCAGAGAGAAAATCGAAAAACAATGGCCATTGAATAACATTTTTTGATAGTAGAAATAAAAGTTTTAAAAACGTTATTTCACTAACAAAGTAGAGGAATGACATAGAGTATACAGTACTTCAACTACCAAAATATGCAACTCATAGATAACCACAAACTTCGCTTTTGTTAAATGTCAAATGAATTAACTTTACATGTTTCAAACAATGCAATTAAACAGTAGTTAAAGCATGTGGATCAATTGTGTGTTTGAATCACAAGTTCATGTATGGGAAAGGGAGAGGCTTACTTTCTCGCAAACTTAGCAATAAATTGTCTGCTTAGAGTTTATTCAAAGAAGTATTGCTTTTAGTAAACTGAATAATTAGGAATACATTTATTTAAGCAACTAATTTAGTTGCATACTTGGTTTTCACTCATCACTATCTAAATCCAAGTGCCTACTACTGGCTTAGAATTATATATAGTTATGTATGGTAATTAAGCTAAAAATGGCGTGTGATTGTGAGGGTAGGGTGATTATGGTAGGATTAAGTAGTATTGCTAAATCCCACAAACCTCCCAAAACACACTGTACAAAATCAAACAATTCAATTGTGATTGATTGACTTGGTATATCAATAAGAAAATTAAATACATTCATAACTATTTTTTGGTTAAAATTTAGATTTTTTTAATGAAAAAATGCTTGCAAATACACCACAAACCTCAAAACACACTGCAAACCCCATCTAAACAAAATGATTGTAGAACTCTCTTTTTCTTAAAAAATAATAATAATTTGATGTTCATACTAACCCACTGTTTGTGGGGTTTACCAATACACAGATTGAATTTCTGGAAAATTGTGATTCCGCTTCCGTGAAATCGGCCACAAGTAAATTATTTTAGTATTAATAAATGCATGATTTATGTTGATGTATTGATTATGTTGTTGCTATTTTTTAACATGTAAATGGGAAAAAAAATAAAAAGCGTAATTCATGTCTTTTTATTTATCTTTGAATATTTTATCATTGAATATTAATTCTTGCAAAAAGTAAAATGTAAATGGCAATTTCTTTGATGTTAGATTCCTTTTAAAAACTAAATTATTTAAGATAAAAAAATGCATATATTTAATACAGAATTTGATTATTGGGGCCATTTTTACCTACCTGTTATATGGGGCCATTTTTACCGGGGCCATTTTTGCCGGGGCCATATTTTCCGGGGCCATTTTTTCCGGGGCCATTTTTTCCGGGGCCATTCTTACCGTACAACTCTAGGTTAGCCAAATTAGCCACGAAAGGAAAGAAAAGCCGAGATTAGAAGAGGTCAGTTATATGAGTAGGATTAACAGTTTAATTGATCATGGTCAAAATCCTTTTGTGTATCGAGTCAATTGGGTTGTTATATCGATAAAAAGAAATTACTTCGTATCCTTTAATTTTCATGTGTTCGTAATTGTACAATTGAGTTTGATTCTGTACCTTTTAATCGCCATCCCGAGGCAAAGTTTTCACTCGCTGTGAGCAGCAGACCATTGACTATGAGCTAGTATACCTTAAGATCAAACACAATATTGCGCGCTTTGCGGGCCGCAGAACCTGAATTTATTTCCCCTATTTTTATTTGTTGATTGAAAACTGGAACCGGGCAAGTATACCGGATAATGTTTTAACCTTTCAATATAATGGTTCAATTACCACCGGCACTTTAGGTTGAATACATTAGAGTTAGCAATTAAGTTAATTAATTCAACCTTCTTATTTCATGACGTTCATCGACCGTCGGGATGCGTATTTCTCAGTGACAATTATTGCAGCTGTTCCTTAAGTTTATTTAGACTCTCAAGTAGTCCGCGTATTTTTAATAATGGACACTCTTGCCTTGGGTATATTGATGCTGCGTTGATCCGTATAATAGTATTAGTACACAATGAATAAGTGATCTTGACACATCAATGAACATTTAACAGCTTTATTTATTACTGTCTGCACTCCATGTTATATGTGTGCCGTTACTATGCTATTCTATTATGTAGGGAGCGCTCAAGGTATCATTATATATCACTACACCTTCCCTCTTCACAAATGTTGTGGAATGTTTCTTTAAGATATGAAATGTAATGTACAACAGTATTTCTTATTGATTTATATTTTACGGGGTTGCTGAATTTTGTTTCACGAGATCTTTTATATCTTGTGTTCACTTTTGCTCAAAATTTCAATAGTAACGCAGAAGTTGCTGCGCTGCTGATAAGGTTGAATTACCAACTAAACAAGCCTTACATGTAGAGTTAAATTTGATGAAAATTCTACCAGTTAAGCAGCAGCACTTTTGTTTAGGGGTGAACATGCCCTCCCTGTCCTTTTGCACCCACCCTTAATTTGGTTTTATGCGATGGAATCATGCACTTATGCGATGGATTCATGCATTTATTATTATTATTATTATTATTATTATTATTATTATTATTATTATTATTATTTACTTTTTGTCTTTTCGGGGTCAAATTGAGACAAGCTTTGCTTCTATTTTTGGTCCTAATTAATTAATTTTGATGTTGTCCACTTTATTTATCAATTTATCTAGGCCTATTTTGATTAATTAACTGATAAAATGTTAATTGAATTGAAATTGAATTAAATTGAAATTGATATGAAATCTGCTTCACCGTGACTAGTGCGCCTTCTCATGATAAACCCGTGCCGCTGCTGATCTGGAAGATTTGTCATCAAACTTCACCTTCCAAGTAAACTCGTTTAATATCTAATTTTTCAAATGCTTCAAGTTAAGATAATTTAAATACACTCGTCTCTGAATACAATAATGTATATTAAAATATTATTTTTTAACGTTAGCTGGCCAAAGTTTTTGACATGTGTTAAAGTAAATAAACCATGTCCTTAATAATGCAAAATCATCTGCGTAAAGTTAAAATAATTGAATAACATATATGCTTTCAGAATGTTGTCTCTATCGTATATTAAACTTGATATCATTATTAAATACTATATTGATGTTTAACTAATTCATATATAGGCCTACTGTCCAATATTTTCTGATGGAACTTAGGTTGTACATAGTTTTTAAATATATTTGCACTCTAGTCTTACTATTATATAAAGCTCAATATGTAATCCATATTTATGACGGTAAAAACTTACTTATATTGCATGTTGGTCCAAAAAAACCAGACAAACACTGACAGTTCTCGATACCGTAATCCGAGATGACACAGACTCCGCCGTTGAAGCATTCGATATTGCACGTTTCTTCAAAGAGAAAAAAATAATTATAACTTAACGAAATACTATTTTCGAATGTCAGGTTGGCTGCGTAGCACCGTAAACACAATATAAAGAAATAATTAGAATTTTAGCATTTTTAGTTTTAAGTTTTGTTTACTTCGTATTATATATTTTATTTACTTTTAATTGAATAATGGTCACTCAGGGGATTGACATGACTATTGAGGCATCATTGCATATAATAGGCCTACTTTGATGAGGGTGGGTATTTGATGGGGGTGAGGTGCTTGTCAAATGCTTGAGTGACGGTTACTCAATTTATTCTTTGTTTTCTTTAGTGTATTGTATTCTGTTTGAAGTATTATTTTTTTGGACGCATATTTATCATGTGAATTGTGCCACTGTTTCTAAAGTGTAGTTTCCCAATAAATTATTAAATTATTATTAGGTAATAACAGTGCTCGAATAGGATCAAAATATATATAGATGTAGTAGTGTGTATTTTTTGTGTATATTAAGCCTTTGAATTTTATTATTTGATTAATTTATTTTGCTATTCTTTTAAATTTCCCTTTAGATTAATAAGTAATACAGTTGCAGGATAGGTCATTAACCTGAGCTGCATTCCATTTTCTATAGTCAACAGTACTACTATTCTTGGTAGATTGTTCCCCCTGGATTTAGTCAGAGCGTTGTACATTCCTGTGGTCCTGTAAGGGAAGTGTCCTGTCCACCTAAACTTGATTGATGACCGGAACCAAGATAGGGAATGGAAAGTGACTTTGGGGTGTTAACCAATACTAGGAACCAATAAGAATTAAATTTCTCATGATTAATAAAAATAATAAACCAATGAAATACGTTAAGACACGAACAAGGAGGAGTCATATCCTTCTTTAAAACACTGAACAATTTGATAGAGAGCAGCAGTTGAGAGGAGTGGAAAAAGAAATCCAGTCCAGCGAGAGGAGAGCGGTACCTCAGCCCGACGGCCGTGGCTCTGGCCATTTTCCATCAGAGTACTGTACCAACATAATTCTACACTAACTTAGATGGGGCAAAGTCTACACCGTTCAGCTCTGATCGAACTGACTCTAAATGGAGATCGCTTTTCCTTCGTTATGTTTTGCATACCATCGAACACTATTAATATTATTGGACAGTTGTTGAATGGACTGCCTATCGTGTTTTATCTTCAAGTTGTTCTCACGTGAGTAGTTGTTAGGTTAGTTTAAGTTCCCGTTTAAACCCCCCCCCCCCATTGTAATCCCCCTTTATCTAATAAATACTATAGTTGTGTTAACATAGAAAGGATTTTGTAGTTTTCATTTCTGGTTGCATAAGCCTACTGACTGAGCAGCGCGTAACTGGAATCCGAGCCCCCACGATGAATTATTAAGTGACTGTTCGCTTACTATCAAGTAGGGGTAAACACCCGCTACTTATATATATATATCGAAAATGAACTATGGAACGTGTCGCAAATATTACCAGCAGAGTGCTCATTTGTAAACAAGCGGATATAAATAGATAAATAATTGAATTATCTAATATGGCAATCTACGACCTATATTCTCTCACACTGCATAACGTTCTTATATTCGCGCAAACAAGCTAATTACTTTGACCCCGGAAAGATGCTTGTATCTGATTGGCTTCCACACACAAAAGAGGTCACAGCTTAATAGCGACCCACTTGTAAGCGGCTGTTCACATGGATCGAGAGCGAGCTGCATCGAGAGTCGATCGAGAGCAGCTTTTCGTGGGTTACCCACGAACAAAATCTAGTTTTTTGTTGACATTTAAACTATACCTGATATGCTTTGCATGTAAAAATATATTCTAATCGAAAGTATACCTAACTGGTCGATAACATGCCAGAATCCAGACATAAGGGTTTAACCCCCCCCCCCAGTTTTGGTATTTTTAGGCTAAAAATATTGATTTGTTGACATTTAAATTAAAACTAATATGCTCATGTAAAAATATATTTTAACCGATATCATACCTCACTGATCAATAATGTGTCAGAATCTGACATAACAGTCTTAAAGAATCCCAATTGTTCCTATGTTTGAGTTTAAACGACGATTTTTGGTAACAAAATAGATTTTTTGACATTTATACTGATATGCTCTGTGATACGAGATACGAGAAGCTTTATTGCAATTTTTTATCATCAAAAATTGAAGTTGAAAATACATTTTAACCAATACAGTATTATACTTGATGGCCAATCAGAATCTTATGAAGGCATTGGTAACAAATTGAGATTTCTCTACATATAAAACTATAATTGCAGTTCTTGGTATGTAAAAAAGTCATTTTAACCAATATATTACTTTACTAGTCAATAACATATCAGATTCAGAATCTTACGAAAAGGTTTTTAAAAAATTCAAATTTTGGCAATTTTTTTTGTTAAAAAACTTATTTTTTGGTATGAGAATATAGAGTTTTGTTGAGATTTAAACTATATCCTGATATGCTATGTACATGTTATATATTATATCTCACTGATTAGTAATAGTGTCAGAATATGACAGACGGTTTAAAAAAAAATGTTTCAATCAATCAAAAATTTCACCTGGGCTAAATACAGTTCATTTTTTTGGTAAAAATAGAGGTTTGGGCTTCGTTTTTCTATAGTAGTTAGACGCTTTCATAAAGCTATAGATAATGATCGCCCGATTTTGAACGTTACTGGGCTCACCCATAATCTATAAAGGCCTATAAGGATTTCTTCGTGTGACAGTTTCAACGGGGGTGGGGATGCGTTTTGCTAGCAACATGGTCTTTAGTCTGCATGCCACCTATGGCCCCTGATGGATAAATGGCAGTGCCCTTGGTGGTAGTTTTGGGGCAAAGCCTATAGAGGATTTCTGAAACCCATAATTTAATAATTATGCTATTTAAATTTGCATTAATTGTGGGGTTCTTGGGGACATGAAGAAGTAACGTTTCATGTCCTGACACCTGTACATCTGTATGCCTAGAAGTAACATTGTTAATATGAAAAAAATCGCAAAATAACAAATTCGTACAACGTGCAGTTATTAAATATTAACAGTTAGAAGAGATGGCAAATAAAATGCATACTACAGCATTTGGCAATAACAATAGTGAAAATGGGTTTTAAAAAGTGAACCTTTAGAAATTTGAGGGTACAGCATTGGGGGTTTGTGCACAAAAGGTACAACAATAGAGTTTTGAGAGCTAAACAGTATAATGGATTTCTGAAACCAATAATTTGTAAAATATTCTACTTAAATTTTTATTCATTGGGGGACCTCTGAAGAAGCGTTTTATGTCCTTTACATCTGTATACCTCTGCAGTAGCGATAGCACATCACTTCTGTCACTATAGGATCAATAATTTGTGCAAATATCTTGAGGAAAGTACTGCATGTCCAAGTGCCCTACCCCTTTTCCGTAATTTTACAGAGCGTGATATACCACATTTATTGGAAAAGGAAGAGTAATTGGCGAACATCCATATAAGCAATTCGATTCCCGTCTCCTGACATTTTAGCGACTCACTAATAGCGACTCACTATCCTTTAGTATGCAGGACCAGTAGGCCTGCACCAGTATTTATAATTAAGGTCCACCGAGAGGTGTTCTCTCAGAATAGCAATTACCTTGCGCATCCACCCATGTGTTGACCAATCAGTTGACAAATATAATTATAATTATTGTGCCATTAAATGTATTTATAGTGATATTATTTTTTAGTTCCTTGAACTACTAAGTATATATAAAATCAACATAATACATCGGGGATATTTCACCCCTCTCCATCGGACCCCGGTAAGTGAGCCGGTTGAACCAGCGCCGATACTACAGCTAAAGGTTACGGCGCCCCTGACTTAACCGCTCGGCCAACCAACTCGCCTCTTATTGTTTTCATTCTTATTTGCTTATTTGTGACAAATGAATGACAATATATTTATATACCTGTTTGTAAAAGTAGACCTTTGTACTATAATAGTCTTCAAAACATGAATATTTCAACCCGTCCTCGGGTCTTCTTCAGCATGTGTGAGAAACAAAATATAAGTTGGCTATTACAATAATTATGATAAAAAGTAAAGTATAATATGATTGGTCGACATTTTAATAGAATACAATAAATATGGTGATTAGACAAAAAAAACTAAGGGGCGGAGTAACAATAGAAATAATTAACAGGTAATTTAATTGGGAACTGTAATAATAATGAGGCTAATATCAGTGTGGGAATACCGATCTCAGTCGGTAATAACAATGATGGAAATAAACACTGACATAGAATAAAGGAACCGCTCAGATTAAACCCCCTTCAACATGATAAATAGCAAATAAGCAAAAACATGCTAACAAGCCGCCAAATTAAATAACAAAGAGCCAGAAAGGCGGAAATACAAAACTCTTATTTGATAAAGAGAAATACAGAAATATATATAATATATATATATATATATATGTATGTATATATATATATATATATATATATAGGCCTATATAATGACTGAATAAAAAGGCATACTAAACAATAATAGGCAATCAAAAAAATACAGATGTGATAGAAAATATATAAGTCAATGGGTCTATACGTTAAAATAAAAAAATAATATAGGCAATATAATGATAATGAAAATAATAATAATAATAATAATAATAATAATAATAATAAATAATAATAATAATAATAATAATAATAATAATAATAATAATAATAATAATAATAATAATAATAATGATAATGGTCATAATAATTACTAAAAAGGATTAAGAATAAGGAAAATTATAGTCACTGATCATATCGAGGTCCTTGTTAAGTCCGAATATGTGGGTTTTGTGTTTGGTTATGTGTCTGAGTTCAGATATGCGTCTTTTATTAAGGGATGGGAAATTACTGGCAATGAGAGTTTATAGAATGGCCGGGGGAGTTGAAGTGGTCGGCTACAGGGAAACTCTTACAATGATTGCGGATGGATTGTTTGTGGTTGTTGAATCTGAGTCTGAATTTGGTGCCAGTCTCACCAATGTACGATCCTTTGTCGCAAATGTCACAAGTGATGAGATAAATCACGTTGGATGCATCGCAGGTAAATGGGTGGGGGGAGGGGCGTATAAGGAGGTTAGAATGGGGGAGTTTGATGAGAGGATTAGTATTAAGGCATTTGCAATTGAGGCATCGGGATTTATTGCACTTAATATTGCCAGGTGACAGTGGTAGGGAGGTTATGCGTGACGAATTCAAAAAAGAGATTTAAGATTCGGAGGTTGTCGATTGGCGAGACTGCTCCATAGTGAATTGGCACCTAATGGCACCTAATTACGCCAACATTTTCATGTCTGTTCTTGAAACCGATCTTCTTTCCTCGTTCCCCCTTACACCCCTATTCTATTGTAGATACATCGATGATATTTTTATGATTTAGCAACACGGAGTTCAAAACCTTGAGCGCTTCAAGAGTCACGCTAACAACTTTCACCCACACGTTAAATTCACTATGGAGCAGTCCCAATCTTCTCTCCCCTTTTTAGATGTTTTAGTTTCTCTTTCTAACCACCGCATCTCAACCTCCCTTTACACTAAACCTACTGACAGCCATTCTTTTCTCAATTTCGACAGTGCCCATCCTCAAGTCCGTAGCCAGAAATTAAAGAGGGGGGTTCTTTTTTAGATAAAAGGGCACTTACGAGCGAAGCAAGCACACCAGGCTGGGAGACAGGGGGCGCCTAGGGCCCCTGGTGGGGTCCAGGGGCCAAGCCCTGCGGAAGCTACAGCATTCTTTACATATACACACCTTATTTAATTGCTCTAATATACACCCATCAGCAACAACAAAAAGAGCAAATTATTTTAGTTACTGGCAAAATGACATGATCCTGGTATGGTACAAATCTCCAAATTGTCATCAGAAATAGTAAATTTGCCTCCTTTTGGGTGTTGTTTTGTACCAACTAATTTTCACATTAACAGAAGAAAAACAGGAAACAAAGAGCACTGAGACAAATTTTCTCTTTAGTTCTTTTCATTACAATTACCGGACACCATCCTGGTATTTTCAGTGAAGGTGTCATAAATGTACTTTTAATTACAGAAAAAAAGCCAAACTGCCTTGGTATTCATTTACATATACATATTTGCAGCCACAAAAATAAATAATTATGTTCAATACAAAAAAGAGGAAAATATAACATACAAACATTTTTGAACCAGTCCCTGTTTTCTTTCGTGACAATAAAGTAATTTAGTGATATTGAATCTACTGGTTCGATTTCCTATTATTTACATGTGTATTGGTATAATTCACTTATGTATTTAGAGCCATAAACATTAATAATTGTGTTACAAAAAAAGGAAAGAAAAATATAACATACAAAAAATGTTGAACCAGTCACTGTATTCCTTGATGACAAAGTAATTTAGTGAAAATCGTTAGTGTTGCGTTCGAATCGGTGATTGCCTAGACGTGACGCGAAAGTTTTTTTTTTTATCTTCTACATAAAAATAAATACAACCTAGTAGCAGCCAGGAGACCTACGTTGGCCTATACATCGGCTGAATAAGCTAGCGGAATGGGGATGTAAAATGTCTTAGAATGCGTTTCGTGCTTTGTGAAAACTCATTTTCACGCAGCTGTTTAGCTAACAATATACAAATGTTACATGAACACCTGGGAAGGAAAGTGCAGGATCACGTTCTGTTGCCTAGCATGTCTGTACTGTAGCGTGGGCGGGGGGTAAGCATAAGTTGTTTAGCCAAAAATATGCAAATGTTACATGAAAACCTTGGAAGAATGGCACATCATGTTCTGTTGCCTAGCTGACTGATGTACTGTGTAGCGGGGGACGGTGAGGCTATTTATTAGTAAGACTAGGCCTATAGGTAGACAGCGCAATTATATGTGATAGGAAGTACACTTTCGAGAGAAAAAAAAAATTAAAATAAGAAAAACAAATTAACTAAGAATAATTCAGTTGCAGATGTAGCTTGTTTAAGCATTATGCAATGCTAACAATGCCGCTCTTGTAGACCTAGCTAGGCAAGGCATCCATGTGCAAAGAAGTGGTATTTATCCATGAAAAAAAGTACGGCGGGAAAGTTTGCTTTACCAGGAAAAGGTGACGTAATCTTATGACGTATGCATGTTAACTATATTTTGGGTGTGACGTCACCAAAAAATGAAAAGTTTCTATTATAACAAAAATGTTAATAACTCCATAATATTCCATAATAAGCAATTCGTAGAACTCCGCATAGTACACACTATAGGAAAATTATATACGAAGGTTATATTTAATGGTTGAAAAAATTTTTGAATGCATTAAATCTGACCTAAGTATAATAATTTTCCGCTAGTGTACGATGCATGCTCTACTAATTGCTTTATTAGTCAATCGCTGTCTTTTAATGTTAGTTTTTATAACCAACTGTGTTGTACCATATGTTGCTATAGTAATACGATTAGTATATATTACTGTGTGCGTATTTATATTTTGTGCCTATGCTGATTTGTGCTCCTGCAATTAGGCCTATGTGTTAACTACACATCAGCAGTACTGTACGAATACGATGAATAACTATTTTTTTTCGAATACGATGAATAACTTTTTTTTTTTTTTTTTTTTTTTGTAATTTGTATTCTGTTAGAAGAACTTGTTTTACAATTGTTCACATTCGTCAAAGAAATAAACATTTTTCAAACCATTCGAGAGAGAATACAGTCACTGTCACTTACTTTTTGGTCGGTGCAGACAGGTAAAAATCTTGGGATGATTTGATAACTACGCTAGGCTATACGGCCTAGGCTAGTAGAGGAGGCCCCGGCGGCCTGCTGCATGGCCGTAAGCCTACAAGCCAGGTTCTAATTAACTTTGTTTTACGAAAGTAGTTTTCAATTACAATTCAATCTTTATCGCGGAGCGCGGATATCTTCGCGGTGACGAAAGAATTAGGAATATTTTTTTGCACACGAACCTAAAAAAAATCAAGTCAAACGTCCACTAATTGAAAAATTAGTGAACGGTGGGGAATATGCAAATAACATTGGTTGCAGTGATGACGTGACGATTGACTTATACAAATACTTTGACTTATACAAATTACAGCTCCCATTGACGTTTCAGTCGAGAAATACGGGTAACTGAAGTTTTTCTCGCAAATCTGACTACAAACCAAATCTAAATTTCACGTTCCATTTCTGATTTTGCCCGACGTGAGAAATATTAAACATGTTTAATATTCTACGACGCGACTGCCCCCTACGCACATCGCGTCTGCTGCGTCGTACGACGCTGTCTGAGTTGGCCTTAACTGGATGGTAACGGGTCTATAGACGAAACCGGCTAGGTGCCAACATGATGGGTGGCAGCGGACATTGGATGGGTGGCGTAGGACCTCCGATTGTAAGGGGTGATGTGGTAAAAAAGACGGTACCACAACATGCCTAGGTGTTAAAATTCCGTATGGTAAAAGTCCGAATGGCGATGGGTGTATGACTGAAAAGGCCAAGACAAAATGCCCTGTGGCAAAAAGAATATTAACATTTGTATTTTAGTGATTTTATGATGAAGGTGTATTTTACCGTTTCTCAAACATATTCCATCGGTGATCTTGACATCATCTAAAGCAATGTCACTTGTGTAACTACTTCCTACAATTCCTTCAAACACTATCTGATAGGCACTGTTTGTTTCAACAAAGATTTTTCCAAGACGCCAAACATTTCCTTGGTCGTTTCTTATTGTCCACACAGGCTTTCCAACAGTACCTGCTGTATTTACTATGTACACACTTAATGTGTTAACTGTGGCCCCGTACATGTGATAGAACCACTCGACGCATGTGCCGTTCGTTGCAGGATATGACGTTGTCCAAAGGCGAGCGATGTCGTTGAGATTTTGAGGTGACGTTTCGATGTACATATAGAAACCTGTAAGCAAATAATGAAATAAATTTACTATTTCTGAGAAATTGTTTTTACATATATTTGAAATTATGCAAAATTTTTTATTTTGTTAGCAGTTTTTGCAATATTTTTAATATTAATTTTACAATTCCATTTAGATTATAAGTAATTTTTGTCAGCTGTTTTATTACCTTGTGATGTTCCGTATGTGTGGTCATACTCAGGACCCGTACGAAATGAGGGTGTTGATCCAGCTCTTCTTATCCAATCAAAATCATCATATTCATCTTGTACAAAGTAACAAATGTAGGGATCTTCGAAATTACATTGGTTTTGTACTAAAATAAATACAAAAGACCAAAATAATTGACATTGGTTGTAAAAGCATGAACACTAAACAACCAAAATGCAACAACCCGTAACTTTGGTAGGAAAAAGCATCTACACGTTCCTCTACCGGCAATATTAGGCGGTGAGTTGTTTCCAAATTCCTATTATATATCAGAAGAATTCCTATGTAAAATTATTTAATAATACAAACTAAAAATCATCTACTTTCCACATCGCTCTCGCATAAAGTCGAACCGGCATTCACAACCTAGTTCCAAATGTTAATGATTAACTACAAACTCATCTTGGATTTGTATTTATTTATTATTGCTTTACCTAATTAACTTTTTAAGAATTGCTTTATTGCTTTTGTAATTTCTCGTTCGAACCATAGACGAATGCTAAATACAATTTCAATTGAATTTATTTTTCTATATCGTTTGTCAGATGCTTTTATTTAATTAAT